TTCCGAACCCTTTATAGACACAACACATTTCTTGTCCATTTGTTGGAGAAATATCATCGTCGCTATCATCATCACAAATATTTTCATTTTCATAATCCCCTTCATCTGTTGAGCCTGTGCTTGACATGGGACGTGCTTTCGAATAAATTTTCATTTTCTTCTTGGAAGTCAAAGCTTCTTCATCTGAACTTTGCGGCTTGGTCCTGGCAAATTATTGGCATCAGGTATAGAGGAAGATGATGCTTGATCATGATCCATAATGTTATCTGTGGAATCATTCATCATAGTGACCGGGTCTTTTTGGGAACCCAATAGACAGTCTGAAGCCAGGAAATCTTCTTCTCCAAAAACAGTAGGATCGATGGGCATTATTCCACTCGCTTTAAATCCAGAAACTCGTTTCTGAATTGTAGCCTTGTTACAGGAGGATTTGTTGACACAAAAAGATTCATAAGAAACTATTTCAACAAAAGCGCTCAAAAGATCGTTCTATACTTGCCCTATATAAAATAATGTCGATCGGTGACTGCCATTATCTGCTTCGAGTAAGTGGCATAACCCCAAAACAAAAACAACCTTTCCCTTTACCATCACTAAAAATCTAAATTTTAGAAATCCAAACAGCACATTACTTTTGCTAACAAATTTATAATAGTTCATAATTAAAACATATCCAATTGTATTTGTATTTAGATGGCAGCACATCTTTAATGTAATATTCTGAGGAGTTAGTATTTTACAGTGACTGGCATTTCCCGCTGACCGGCAATCACCCATCTTACTCTAAGGCATAAACTAGGTCCTCTTCCAGATATTTTTTTAAAATGGCACTTAAAATATGTGTATATATATGCATATAAGGTCGCACTTCTTCGTCTTTTTCATTGACAGCCATCTTGTGTTGTAATGATAGTTTAGATCTTTATATTTAAAACAAACATTTTGAAAAAATTTAGCTTGTATTAGGAAAAATAAACAAAGATAAGCTATTCCGAAAAAAAAACACTCCAAAAGAATTGTAAAATTAAGAAGTTTTATCACAACAAATACTCTGTGCATTTACACTGCCTGTAATGCAATTACATTCCAAGGCAATTATTGATTTGATAATATTACATTTTTTGAAACGAAATGTACACAAATAAATGTTTAAATACAGTTAAACAAAAAGCTTTTTAGTTTCCATGAAGTACGCTCGATACAACTGTTCGTTTCATGAATTACTGCTTGATGAATGATTTATTCTTTCAAAGCGATTCTTATTAGTATTTGCAATAAAATTAGATAAAGAATTCCGATACTGATCTACTCTCTTATCGTATATTTAGATAATGGGTCTGAGTTCTTTTCAAAAGATTATTAATCTATTTCGAAATAGAAGTGCATATATTTCAGTATACATAATTGAATTTTTTATAAGCAATATAACAATTTTGTCATTTCATTATCTTAAACAGTTTAAAATAAAAATTATCCAATGTAGATTAATAAAAGGGATCAATATAACGTTACGATAAATTATTTTTTAAGTGGAATATACTTTAATCGTTGTACCAACAGTAGGTTTCAGTCGAAGTTGGACACGCACCTCCACTCTTTCCTATCCTGAGCTAATCTTCGCTCTTCTCTAAAACCAGAACAACTTACATCCTTAACCATTTGCGAACAGTAATCTAATCTAGGTCCACCTCTATCCCTCCTCCCGTTTCTGCCTCTAATATGTCTCTGCCTCTAATATGTCTTTGACTAGACCTTCATGTCTGAGGTGTCTTACCAACCTATCTCGCCTATTTTTTATTGACTTCCATAGAGTCCTCTGTTCTCCTATTCTTTCTACTACCTCTTCATTTCTACGGTATCCTCATCATTCGCCTGTAACACCACTACATCAAATTTCGAACGTTTCTAATCTTTTATTTTCCGCCGCGCCCATTGTCCATGTTTCGCACTCGTACAGCGCCGAGTTCCAAACATACAGTTTCAAGAATCTTTTTCGATTTTCTAAATTAATCGTCCGCTAGCATAGAAGGGACTTCTTTTTATTGAAGGACACTCGGCCCCTCACTAACCTCTGCTTTATATCCCTACTACTTCTTCCGTCGTGACATATCTGACTTCCTAGACACCTAAAATCACTCACTTCTTCTAATTTTTCGTTTCCTATCTTTACATTCGCTGTTTCCCCACTCTTTCTTAGCTTGCATAGTATTTTAGTTTTACTTTTATTTATTTTCATACAATACTGTTTTGTCAATACCGTGTTCATTTTATTTAAAACTATCTCTAACTCCTCCTTGCTAGATGCTACTACTATATCATCTGTAAATCTATGCATACTCATCTTTTGACCCTGTATATCTATACCTACAGTTGTACAGTCTTTAATGATGTTGATAGCGTTTTCGATGCATAGGTTAAGAAGTAGCGGTGACAGTGTACATCCTTGTCTAACTCCCTTCTTAATATTTATTTGCCTACGTTGCTACTCCAGCTCTATAACTGCCTGTTGCTTTTTATACAAACTAAGTATCACTCTTCTATCTTTGTAACTCATCCCTACATTTTTAAGTATATTTAACATCTTGTCCCTTTTAACATTGTCAAAACTTTTTTCCATCCTCCTCTGTACAATTCAATTGATTGATTAAAAAACTAAAAATTACTGTTTAACATAGTTTAATCATAAAAAAAAAGTAATAAACAGAGAAAATACTGTATATTCTATGAAGCGCCTTACCTAATCGGATAGGTACAGTTCCTTGCGATGAATATCAGAATAATGAAAAGCTCCACTAGGTAGCGCTAGACGGTCCACGTCGGCGTCGAAAATGAGCTCGCTCCGTCAGGGAATACCAGAGCGAATCGAATGCTTAGAAACATTATTATGAGTAGTATTACTAATACCCATACATATTGTTCCAATTTTTCGCAAATATGGATCGTTGTATTGTGCTGGAAATGTAAATGAAAGTGCAAAAAATCGCCTAAGGGAGCAGAGAGTTTAATTTTATTTCTTATAACTTGTCCAAGTATATTTAGGAAGACTATCAAGATCATTGTTGATAATGATAATTTCAAAAGTTTACCCTTTCGTATGTTTTTTATTTCTACTTGTCTTGCCGTTGTTGCCTACTAATTTAGTAAACGTTAGCTATAAACGATAAATTATAAGCAAATTCAGTTCTTAAATCTTCAATATTCTATATTGTGTTTTCTCTTTTCGTCTCTTCTCATTACCCGTTTTGACCAATTTTATTATCGTTTCGTACCTTATGGTAATGATTGTANAGGATAATCCCAGGCCTTTCAAGTGGTCATAAACTGTTGAATTTGATAAATTTAACCTCAATCCGATCTCACGTGTTGTTATTCGCCGGTTCACATCAACTAATGCCTTTATCGCGTCTTTATCAGGTTCAACCGGCCTTCCCGAACGTGGTGCATCTTCGACATCAAAATTGCCGGATCGAAATTTAACGAACCAGTTCTGGCACTAGCGTACTGTTAACACACCTTCTCCATACACTTCAGTCAATTTCTTTCTGGCTTGAACAGCATTTTTACCCTTTCTGTAGTAAAACAGTAAGATATGTCGAAAATGCTGCTTATCGCTCGACATATTTAAAAGGGCACCAACCAAAAACTACTGCGTAGAATTAATTGGAAATTTTTCACACACAAGTCTTGCTATATGAGCTCTCAAAGCATATAAAATTTATACGGCTTAAATGTGAAGTTGGGTGCAAAAGAATACAATTAAATCCTCTGTCGGGAAAAAACGAAATGACTTTCCGAACAACCCAATAGTTACAGCTTTTATAGATAATTGTTCTAAATATCTCACACCTCTCCGCACTTCTCTTTTTAGGTATGGTTACTGCCACGTTCCGTTTATAATCCACCGGGACTTTCCGCGTCTCCTAAATGTGACTAACTAGCTTGCCTTATTATTCTTTAAGTTTCGTAAAGGATGTTTCACATCCAAGGTTAGGTTGGTTTAAGTTAGTACCTAACATTTTTGGGCTTATTGGAGCAGATAATATGTCAATGAACTCCAAATTGAAAAAGCAGATGTTGAGAAGAATAGCTGTCCACCTTGATTGAAATTTGGACAGAACTGAAGATGTTTTTCGAGGTAGAGGTGGGATTCTAAGGGTTACCTTAGTGAAATTAACAACCACAATTACGAAACGTGTATTGCAAATTGGAACATACATTCAGCAAATTATTTTTCGAGGCAGGTAGTGCATGTGTTGTTCTGTCTATGAGGCTTAGATGACTTCTCAACTTCCATTTTTTTGAAATAAACATAAAGGAGACTGTGGCGTATTGACAAACAAAAAGAAAGGTCTTACCCCAACTAACCACAGCAGTTTAAAAAACTTAAAATCTTACAACAAAAACTCTCTTCAACAAAAACATTGCGAAACTTTTTTTTAGTTTAATTATAGTTCGTATGATGATACAAGAGAAGAAGCTGTACACAAGAGATGAACACAACACAAAAGTTCAATAGCAGATGCTGAGTGTTTACTAGGGAGTGTGGGAGGCTAAATGTTTTGGGAAGGTGAAGGTGTAAGAGAATTTAGGTAATACAAAAACAAAAAACAAAAAGAAAGGTCTTACCCCAACTAACCACAGCAGTTTAAAAAACAACGCAGACACGTGTTCTAATAGTCGCCTTGCTCTATTAGGTAAGTACTTACAATTACTGCATTTTGGTCTATTATAAACGCTAAAATTATTTCTCTCTGTTTTAGTCAGATTACGGGTATTTCCCGTATATGTATAGGTAATTTGTAGTATTTGTGCATTCAAAACCAATGATGTCGAAACAGTATCACACAGAATGTACGTGACGCCTGATCGACAAGCTTTTTGACAAGGCCTCTATTTTTATCTTATTTGATCTTTGTTTTTTATTTGCTCTGATAATGTACACTTTTGCTGGAGATTCTGGAATTTTTTTGCAAATGAACTGATAAAGAAGCCACATCATAAATATTTAGATAATAAATACCATTACAAGGAGGACTTCCAGGCAATTTATGTGTACATCTGCCAAGATGATAGTCATGTTCATTTTCGCGGCATTTATGCCTTTTGCTTTAGGTAAATTTTGCTATATTCGGTGAATAATTACTTACTGGTATAACATTTTGGTTAAATACTCATTATTGAGTTTTTTACAGCTTTCCCCTCTCGGCAAAATAGATCGAAACCAGCAGAGCCTTCTACTAGAATTTCAGGAGGGTACTCTACAACAATTTACGATATTCCTTATATTGTACAAGTAAACGAGGGTTATCCAATGTGCGGTGGGTCAATCATTTCAAGATTTTGGGTGATTACTGCAGGCCACTGCTTAGATGGGTAAGTTCGCCAATAATTAACTTTTATTATTACTTGAAATAGTCCCATTTAAATCAGAGATAGGTACAGAATAGACATTTCCTGTCTTTCATATGCTTTTTTGTAAATATTTATTTCTATTGGTCCGGATAGTTTAACTTTAAATGCAAAGTATAATGTAATGAAATAATTTATCCAAAACTCCTTCATTAAAAATTGTTCTCAGTAAACCATTTCATTGACGATCATCGGAGGAAAATAAGAAAATAATTTGGAATGGCTTCATTTAACACAATGTTTTTGCGCTCTCAAGTGGATGCTCATATCATCTTAATGGTTTAATATAATTTTATTTGCCTCCAGTTGAAATGTGCCGATTATTAGCCACATAAGATTTATTTAAAGCTTTTTTTACAATGGAAAAAGCCGGATGTGACCGAAAAATGTGGAAAGCTTATCTTGAAGTGGTAGAGAATTTTTAACTTCCCCGGTCAGCGTTGCAAGTGAACTAATCCTGTTCGTTTGGCCTCAGTAGGGTCTAAGAAGGTCATTTTTAAGTGTAGGTAATATCTGACAACATAACTTTAACCCAGTAAAAAAATTAAACAATTCCTTTTACGAACAGTCTTAATAATAATTTTACCATTAACATAACTGAAACTAATGGCAGATCCTTATTTTAAATTGTCTTAATGCAATTGCATTGGCACAGTTCACGACCCCCACAATAAGTCTACACCTTCTTAACTTTACTTGGAGGTTGTTCCTGATCCTGACGTGGAATGTGGTTATATGCTTTCCATGCGCTTAAAAACTGTCATCGAAATTTCGAAGAGGAGATCTCAATTTGGTTTAAAGGCGCAGAACTAATCGAAAAGGCATTTTTAATTCTGATGAAGATTTTACCCGAAGTCCTTAAAGTCCCTTGTCAATACGATTGTAGGAGGAAATTACAAACACAGCCAGTTTGAGAGTAAAATCCAGTCAATTTGTTGTGTACCTTTAGGTCCCTTTTGAATTTAATAGACAACGTCCTTTCCATTTTGATGTTTATAGGTACACTGCACTTTATCGTCTTCATTAAAATTATATGGTTTTCATGTTTTTCACCATAGATTGCTTCTAAGACTTTTGAAACTTTATTTTTGATCTGATTGTCCAATTTCTTGCATTAGAGCAGGTCCTTCAGTGCGGCCTGTTCCGTTTTTAAGCAGAATTTCCTTCCATACAGGTTTCCATGAAAATTTTCAAGGTTTTTAAACTCAGCTGGTAACTCTCGGTTTCTGAGTCTCCGATAATGGGAGTAAAATTCCAGAATGCTTCTAAAGTATCTTTTGGTATGGGCGAAGATGATATCGTTTAAGTAAATAAGAGAGATTCTCATTTAGCCATTATAGTGTAGTTCCTATCAATTTTTTTAGTATAGCAGCTATCGTATGCAATTGCCATAGACTATTACTAATTGTAAATGTAGTCTCCTTCTTACCCTGTGCATCTACTTCTACCTTTCAGCATCCCCTTTTTAAAATGAAAGTAAAGAACGATTTCACTTCAGCTAAACCGTCTAGTGTTTCGTGGATTCAGGATAATGGGGAAATATTACCTTGTTCGGTTTTCTGTAGTCTGTACAAAATTAGGTGGAGCCATCTTTCTTCCGCACTAGCACTGCATGGGAAGCTCAAGAAGGTTGCGGTGGATTGATTACCCCTTGTCAATGTATAGCTTTGATAAGGTCATTTACTTCCTCTAGCTTCGTCTACGAAAATAATTTTTTCTCGCATTGCTGTTCCTGTGTTGTTATGATGGTATTTTAAGTTGGCTCTACTACTAGGGGTAGTCGAGTGTAAGAATGAAGAATCCTCATGTAAGTATTTTGAAGGAGCTGTAGACTGTTGGATGTTTTGATGGGAGATTGAGCTGTTTTGGAAGAGGGGCTTGATGGAGATAAAAGGACTCAAGACTTCACCACGGGTGGCTTGAATGTATCCCCGCGTGGTGAGTTTCTGTCAAAAATGACACCAAGGTAAGTGACGGAAAGGCTTCATTTGATGAGATGATTGTTAACGGTGATAGAGGAAATTTTCGGATCCTATGGGAGAATAAAATTGCTTCCGACTTGGTTTGGGCGGAGCTTATAAGGGCGATATCATCGGCGTAGGGAGCAGTGAGAATCGAGGATTGAACAAGAGGGGTGATAGTTTGCAGCCTTGGGGGACATCGGCCGTGACGGGTTTGCTGAGGAATAATGCAGAACCAACGCGAACACGAAGGTTTATGTCAGAGAAGAAGGATCTGATAACCCCGATGAAGAGATGTGGAATGTTAAGGGCGATAAGCTTGGAGATGAGTCTTTCGCGCCAAACTTGATCGAAGGCTTGCTGTATGTCAAGCAGAAGCATGGTAGTGTGACGGCGCTTGTTCAGATTTAGAAACGCGGAGAAGTTGATGGTCGGAAACCATGTTGAAAGTCGGGGAGGTGATTGTTTCGCTCAACTCAACTACTTGGGAAGGAAAGAGGCTTTTCTCTTTTTCAGAGATGGGATGGTGAGAAATATTTCACGGGGCACGTGTGCTTACTGTTGGAGACAGAGGGGACAAAGTTTTGGGAGGTGGCATTGATTTGCTTGTGAAAGTCGGTAAGATCTACAGTGCTGGGTATTGGGGGGCACTGGAAACAGAGTGAGTTTACGAAGATTGCAGCTTTTTCCTTATCCGAAGCGTATACGGAGCCGTTTTGTTTTAGCGGCGAGAGATGGGTAGGTCTGTTCCAAAGAACGGATCATCGCTTTTGGGGTGTTTTTCTGTCTCTACGATGTAATCGTTAAAGGTGGCGCTGCGGAATTTGTTCGCCCGGTTGACTGTGTCACATAGAAAGATAAGCAGCTACTTAGCATTATTCTCTAATGAATACCATAAAACAAAATTCGATAACGTCTAGGCGCATATGTATACCAGGAGGCTAATGAAATTTAAAAACATAGCCAAAATGACTGATTTCTTTTGCAAGACTTTTCTCCCCCATTTCTCATATTCAATCCCCATCTCCTTCATAACCATTTCCACAAAATCTTTCCTAGCATGCAAAACATCTGATTTGATCTCCATATTCGAGGAGGGGTTTTACTCGGTAGGTGCTTCAGCGAATCCAACACTACTCCCCTTCAGAGGATATCGTTTGAAGAGTTTTCTCTTCTTGAGGAAAAACAAAACCAAAAAAACAGAAGAACACATCCGTCCTAGATCCGTCATAGGGAACACTAACTATTCCAGTCCAGGTTGAGCATCCATATCTCTTCTTTACTATTAAAATTGTTTGGGTTTTGAAGATCTCAATGGTCTCCTTTGTAACTGTAGGAAAGAAGCATTGGGTTTGGTATAAAATCTCTACTTTCTCAAAAATGCTTTGATGTCCTGTAATTCCGTGTTCAGCAACTACTGATTTATCTGTTTGTTCTAATCTACAGTTCCTTTTATATTCCGCAACTCTGTTGTTATTTCTTCGTCTAGTTGTACCAACGTAAACCGAGTCACAACTCCAGGGAATTCTATATATTACTACTACTGTACAACTTCCGTATCGAGAGATATGGAAGACAACTTCGACCGTTATCTCATCGCCTTTGATAATGTTCACGGCAGTTGTGAATTCTAATGTAATTCTATTGGACTACTCCTTTTAAGCCCAGAAAACTTCTCTACATTTACTTTGACCAGCCGTGAAAGCCTACACAGTCTCATCAAACAATATTACAGATTTCCTGTTGATGATCGCCTTCAGTTGTCTTCCCAGAATCAGGTGGAGGCGTACAATCATGTGTTGATCTCAAAGTCGGGGTGAATGAATGACTGGTACATGCACACTATCTAATTTCAAAAACTGACTAGATCATTTATGGCTGACGTTGTTCTGATTGGGATTTAATGGCCGTCGTCAGTGTAGTTGCTTCCTAATGTTTCCTAACGATGACGATTCACCGCGACACGTATAATGTCAACCGTCTTCTATTTGGAATCAAAATGGCACCAGATGAATTCAATTAGCTTATCGATCAGATCCTTAAGGACGTTTCCAAGTTAGAAACCTGCTTTGATGACATTATTATTCATGAATCTACTAAACAATTGTCGAGAAAAACGAATTCCTTGGGCACGTTATCTCACACAATGAAATCCACAAGTCAACCAAGAAGATTGGAGCAATAGAATGGTGACAAATTTTAGGATACATTCTTAATATTCGGCCTTGACAGCCTCGTTACGACAAATATTGATAGCCGAAGTGAAATTTAAATCAACGACAACATAAACAAGCAAACCTGAGACTGAAAAAGGAAGTAACCCTGCATTTTTGTTCTGTATTACTTATTACATCTGCGTGAGAGTTGGCTCTGTCTTCTTACATCGACAGTAATCAAGAAAACTTTTCCTTTTTCTTCAAGGTCACTGATGCATGCAGAAAAAAAATAAATACAACTAGACAGCCCTACTCGTTATTTTTGCTGTCAACAATTTCCTTCAATAATTATTAAGTCCTACCTTATGATTACAGATAACCAGCCTTTATCCAGAATTATTCACTAAGCCGCGAAGCTACCTTCGATAACAGTTGTTCGACTTACGTATAACTCGTTTCTCTCGGGATTCAGTAACAAAATTGCGAATACAAGGATAACATCGACAACGCAAATCCGGATTGTCTCTTAGAACGAGCCTAGCTAGTCTAGGTAGTGGTTTCTTTGATAACAGAAAGGAAAAACCAGCTTCGATTATTTTATTAAATAGATACACAGATTTTACACAAAACCAAACGACATATAAATCAAATTAAATGGAAATCAAATAAATAGAAAATAAATAAATAAAGCAGAAAGTCTAATCTACATAAAAACAAAACTAAATATAACGAAAATAAACTGAGTATACCCTTATTCTGTATTATAAATATAGTATTCGGGCCATTACTAGAAGATAAGTGAAATCGGGTGAAGAAAAATATTCCCACATTTCACAAATGGTAGTCTTAGAATGCGTCCAAACCCTTGGACGCTAAGATGTCTACACTACTACTGATGGGAGATCTCGATGGACCTCTTTTAACGCGCCCTCTCACCTATAACCCCTCAACTGCGCACCACACCAGCGCGATAGTAGAACTGTACAACAACAATCTCCCGAAAATAAATAACTATTGCATACATTTCTCAATCAAAATCATAGTTTTTACCTCGTGGCAATATCCATTTTGAACTGATTGATTCACTTATTACACATACTATCGCATTACTTACCTTTAAAAATTTTCTTTTTTCAGATCGCTTGCAGAAAGAGTAACTATCCGAGCGGGAACAGACCAACTTGGAGTAGGTGGTGTGGAGATACAGGCCTCATCTTTATATATTCATCCCAAGTTTGATCTCGATGCCGTTGATTATGACATAGGTTTAATCAGACTTGCGTCACCACTTTTTTTTGGTCCGACAATATCTGCAATTTCTCTTGCGGAAGAGAAAGTTCCTGTCGGAACACCGGCTGTCGTTTCCGGTTGGGGATTTTTGGCAGGTGGTGGTAACAACACCAACCCAACACAATTACACAGAGTTACGATACCAGTTGTGAGCGACAACGAATGTCCTGATTATACTGAAAGAAGGATATGTGCAGGATACCCGGATGGAATTGAAAGTCCTTGTTTTGTATGTGATATTTATTTTCAACACAATTGTTTTATACAGAGTATAAACCAATGCTTACAAGTAAACTGTTTTAAGAGATACAGGATAATAAAAGGTAATCAATGAAGGATTAATAACCTTTTTTTAATACAGGGCGATTCTGGGGGTCCTTTGGCTGTAGGAAATACCCTCATTGGTATTACATCGACTGGCGAAGATTGTATTGGATTATCCATTTTCTCCAACGTTGCCAATCTTCATAACTGGATATCATCAGTGACGTCAATTTAACACACCTACAATGCTAAAAATCTAAATTTTCTAAATAGAGAATATATTTTAAACAATAGCTTTTACTCATCATGTAAATATATATGATTATACAAAAAATAAAAAAAGTAATACGTTTTAATCTTTCTCGAATTCTAATGTCAGACAAAACTGCGTTATCAATAAAATTTTAAGAAACTTAGATATAAGATTCAGAAGTCTGTTGATATTATGTAGGTATATGTAGTACATCGTTTTTGATACTGTCGTCAACGAATATCGCGTCACCTTTAATGAATATCGGGTATGTTAATGATGCTGGTGAAAATTCCGTGACCCCAGGAACACTAGCGGTCTTTAATGTCCTTTTCGTCCCTCGGTAGATCTTATGCGCCGTTCCTTATAGTTGGCATTTTCCATTTATCAAATCTTGTTACAATTTTTTGAATTTTGAAAAATGCGTGTTAATGTTTATCGTATTACATCGGTTAACAATTTTATCTGAAAAAGGTAATCATATAGGTAGCGTATCAAAATTAACAAAAAAAAGATCAAATTGGAAGATTTGAGCATTTTCCAAAATTCACTTTTTGTTCCTTTTATTTACAAAATCTTTAATATCAGTAATGTCAAGCTCTGACGTTTTATGTTTGATGAACAAAGCTTATAAATTTGAATGTGTATTGATATCTTATGTCATGATTGATCTCAAATTTGCCTTTATGAGCTTGTTTTGAATAATTGTTTTCTTTAAGTTTCTGTTGTCAATTGTCTATTGTAGCCTGAGGTCAGAGAGCTCAATAACGGTGGCAGTCCCGATATTGAGGACTCTATAGGTTTGCACTTGCGACAATAATTTGGTAAATGATGTGGTACGACCTGATATCATCAATGCATGCTGCCTACGATTAATCTCCTCTTTGCCAATCATCAACATTGCTGACATTTCTTTTTTCATAATTAATTTTTAAGGTTCCCCTAAACTTATTGTCAGGTTTTATCTGATTTCGATTATCATTTTTCAGTAAAACAAAATCATTTGCATAAACTTTATCGTTGCCAAATCTATACACACCTTGTTTAACACCCAAGCTTCCCAAAGCATGTTTAAATCAGCTATATCAATTTCTCCATTGTCATTTTAAATCGCTTAAACAAAAGATCTAGTCCTGTACCAGTTTGAAAATTTTTGAACGGTATTCATGTAGATATTTGTATGTTTGTGTATTTCATAATATTAAGTGGATTGAAGTAGGTAAAGCCGATGAGGCTTATGATATAATTAAAAGAAATTTTAGAGACGTAGGGTACAGTAATAATAATATAAGAAACGAGGCAGAGGTCATTTTGATAGAAAATGAGGAAAAGGCAGATAGGTGTAAAGAATATTTAGAGAACCTATACGCAGACCATGAGTTAGGAGATATATTAGATAAGGAAGATACTGTGGAGGTAGATGACCTAGGTTATCTCATAATGAGAGATGAGTTCGATGTAGTATTAAAAAGCTTAAAGAATAATGAGACTCTAGGTGTAGATGGGATTCAGGGGGAAATTCTAAAACATGCAGGACAAGAGGTTAGAGATCGTATGTTTAAGCTAGTTAGTCACATTTACGAGGTAAAGTGAGGCGCGGATAGGTGCGAGACATTTAGAACAATTATACTAACTTCCCATACGTCAAAAATGCTTTTTCTAGTTTTAGGGAAATGCGAAGATTAGCTTAGGATAGGAAAGAGTGGAGGTGCGTGTCCAACCAGTCTTAGGACTGACGACCTTATAATAATGATGATTTACCTAAGGTGATCGAGTGACATAGTCTAGAAGTTTAAACCATTCCATAGAATTCGAGAGAACACCACTTTGATTCCAGGTGTGTTCGACCTGGTCCAGGTTTTTCTGTTAGTTGCCTTCCATCGCCTAGGCAAATGATGGAGCGGTAATATTCCACAGATAATCATTCACTTTTTGCTGTTTTAATTTCATTCGTCTTATCTTTCTTATCCCTGTAACCACTCATCTGCTGGGAAAGAAACATCTAAAAGTTTTTTTTTAACCTAAGATAATATCTTCACGGGCTTTATGAGCATTTGTGGTATTAGTCGTTGTATAAGCACTATCTCATAGGATGCACTTGACTCTTCTTTGGGATGACACGTGTAATTTTTTGTAGCAGTCTAATCGAAAGGTTCATTAACAGGTCCGCCATTTTTATCTTATTTTTTCGTTTATTGTTTTATTTACGCTGATAATATACATTTCGCTACAAGTTCTCTTAATTCTTTGGAAATGAAGTGATAAACAGGCTACATCTTAATTGCTTAGATAAGAAACACAATTATAAAGAGGATTTTTACGATATTTCCAGACAATTAGTACGTGTATCGATCAATATGTTAGGCGTGCTCATTTTTGTGACCTTTGTGTCTTTGGCTTTGGGTAAATATTAATCGATGAATAATTATATACCAGTATAACATTTATAGCTATTTGAGTTTTTCATAGCATTGCCCCCCCAACAAACTGGATCGGAACCAGCAGAACCATCTACCAGAATTGTTGGAGGAAGCTCTACAACAGTCAACGACATCCCTTATATTGTACAAATAAATGAAGGCTATCCAGACTGCGGTGGATCAATTATAGCAAGACGTTGGGTAGTCACCGCAGGTCACTGCTTAGAAGGGTAAGTTAACCAATGATAATTAATAAGCTTTAGCATTGGATATTAATAGGAAGATGTGACTTATTTTTAAGAGTCACAGATAGATACAAAATGGAAAACACTTATTTTCATTGCAATAGAGAAAATGCTGACAGCTAAAACTTTGGACGAACGTAGGACTTTCCTGGGAATTGTGATATAACAGGTCAATCGAAAAGTCCCCGGCCTAAAATAGTCAAACACATTTTTTTGCAAAATTCGCTTTTTTTATTCAACATAATTCCCTTCAAGGGTGATACACTGATTATAGCGATCCTCCAACTTTTCGATACCATTTTTGTAGTACGATTTGTCCTTTGCTTCAAAATAGGCCTCAGTTTCGGCGATCACCTCTTCATTCGACGAAAATTTTTTCCCAACGAGCATTCTTTTGAGATCTGAGAACA